CTTAAAACGGCAAGCGGTTATTATTATACAAACGAATTGAATGTACTGCACCAAAGGCAAACGACCATTACCACCGTGTAAGTAATAAACATAATATCGTATACGGGAAACGCAATTTTCTACCGAGGACACTTACTATTACAGAAAACATAACGTTTTCGAAAATATTTATTTTACACGCTTGATTTTAGTCGTTATACAAAACGAAGCTTTTGAAAAAGGTATATTTTTTAATTATTTTTTTAAGTTTTTTACTCTTTTGAATAACCACATTAATTTATAGTTGCATATTCCAGAGCAGAATATTATTGACTTTAGATCGAATTCTATCTATAAAAATGGAATTTTAAACAAATTATATACCTACTAGTTATAACTTACAAGTATTTATAGTTTAAATGAGAGGTCTAGAGGTCCACAATTTTAAGATAAACCACTGCATTACCACACCATCGCTCCACTGTAAACTTTAAATTCTTAAAACTCATATAAAAACTACTTACAGCAAGTTAGATTTTTATATCGAAGTACGCCTAACAATTTTCCGATTTAAAATGATGAATTGAATGTCGTTAAAAAAAACCAAGCAATTTAAAAACAATAATGATAAAAAAAAAAGTAAAATATAAAGACTTGAAATTATGGAAATAAAAGAATCACTCGGTGCAGTAGTCTAATTTAATTATTATTGTGTGCTGCAAGGCAACAATCAAAAACGGGGTATTTTCAATTTTTTTCCATAAGCTCTACTTATTCGTTATACTTACATGATATTATGTGGTTGTCGGTTGGAGGGATTTGGAAGTGCGTACACGGAGTGATTATAACAAAAGTGAAAAAAATTGTAAAAGTTAATTTTTTAACTCTGGCCTACTGCAGTAATAAATCTAATTTCGAATCGTATTAATTATTGCGAAACTCACCAACAGGATTACCTGCACGGCTTGGCTTAAATTTGCAAACGCAAAATTAGCTACTTATTAAAACAAATTTAAGAAAGAAAAAAACGGCTACGACACGTTTTAAATAAAACGTTTCTTTCACGTAGGTTAGATAATAACATTATACGCGTCTGAATTTAAGTTTGGCGATAGCAAGTTTTGCACCAAAACCGCATTTTTCCAACTCGTTTTGGATTAAAAAACAATACAGTTACAGAGCATTGAAATTTTTTTTTAATTTAATGTCATTTTAAATAGTAGGAATACATGTATAACTCGATTTTAAACAAAGTTGGTAAATATCACGTTTTGAATTGTAATTAGTAAAGACACAAATTTTATTCGGCTAAATATATATTTGTAGATGGAAAAAGCCACCGACATTTAAACAAAATTGTGAACGTTTACTGGAAATAATTAATGTTATGTAGACTTTGGAAAAACATAATATTTTATCTCGATACCTCTGAGTATCACCACCTCGCTATAACCAAATACCAAATTTCTCGGATCATGATTATTCATGAATATATTATAATTTAGTACCGGTATACATTTTCGACTTGACATAATATAATAGGTGCAGGTAATAATTAAAATTGGCATGATGATATTGTCTAGGTCGTTTAAGTCTCTAAGATAAATTAATTCTAATATTTCTAAAATTAATTCTACATATTGGACAATTTGTGTTTCGAAAAAAACTGAGATTAGTGGGTCAGATAATCTATATTAAATTAATTGTTACATAGTTTGAACAATTCGCGTTTCTGCAATAATATGTGGCATATACTTTTGGTTTTTTTATATAAGTATTTAAAAGACGTATCTTATCACAACTGCTTCACAGTGCGTGCATGTTTTGTTTGTTTATTTTAATATATTTATATTTCGTTCGTTCACAGCTATTGTAGTGTCGAAATAGTTTTAAAAAACATTGTTTCGTCGAGCGTCAAAGAACATACTCGACCCTTCGCTGTATAATGTGTACATTGTAGGTATATATTAATATATTCTTACTACCACGACATATAATAATATACTCTTCGCTAGCAGCAGATGTATTGTGTATAATATACTTAAGAGTGACTATAATCAATTATTTGTTTTATTGGGTGCCTATATTATTATTTTATATTTCAATAATGTGTGCACCGCCAGTAGCTGCAGCAGGATTCACTTAATGAACTCCACACTTTTACTGTCATCGCCGTCGGATTCGTTAACAATATTACTGTGCAATGGCATTCGAATATTATTAACGAAAAACTAGTTCGTTTATAATAATATAGATATTATACATTATTACAATTATAATATATAGGCAGTGGCTGTGAATTTTTTAATTCTGAAGCACAAATAGAATATCAGGCGTACATATAAGTAGTGCCGAGTAGGTACCTGTATACGTTTTAAACACGACGAAACTATCAAACCGGTCACACAGTAAAGATACTTCATTGCAATGTATATTACATTATTACTATATCGTTTATTATTTCTTAAACGTTTCCATTTTCGTCGAGCCGCGCGGTAATAATAATATGAAGTTTATAAATATATAAAAAAAACATATTATACCTATCTATGTGTTATATACATATAGTTATATGTATATATTTAGATGCGCGCGCGCGAGATGTCCTTCGTTTATCGTTAAGCTTTCTCTCTTGTATATCCATCGTATCCATAGAGGTTTAAGTCGCCCGCGGATACCCATTTGATTTTTTACGAATCGTTATCCGCTAGTTTTTTTTTTATTACAAAAAAAATTTCGGAAAAATGTTTGTTTACGAAATACTACGCTCCGGAGTGTCGTAAACGCGTGTTGTTTAATTGATGTTTAAAATGACTGTGTTGTTTTGGATTGCAGCACGGCGTGGTTCACCCGACCATCGATGAATGCAGAATATTTGTTTTTTATGAACAATTTATACGCGGTATTGTTTTCTTAGTCGGTCACTGTATTTGGTGTTGTGGCGTTTTTTTTTTTTTAATTAGCTTTAATGCACACACAAGTGGAGTCTTGATAACTCGAATTTCAAGGGGAGTGAGACTAATTTAATTTTCGAGTTTTATTTATACCTCGTACAAATCTTAAGTAAAACGCTTCAAGGGGCTAGAAAAAAATTCAAGTTGTCGAGGTTTACGTGTTATCGAGATGCTTAATAAAATTTGAATTCGGCACATATAATATTATAATTTATAATAATATCAGCAGTTACTCATCTGCATTTTTGCTCTTCCATCTCCGCTCTCTGGTGTAAACACATTAGGTATAATATTAAAGTATATCAATAATTCGAGTGGTTCCGTATTCGATATGAGTAATGTTTTTTTTCATCTGAACGGAGTTTAATAAAACCGAAATCACACAATTAAAAAATTAAAAACACAAAATCACCAGCTATCGTCAACTCGCATCATATTCTCATGGACGCAGGCGACATATTAGCAATCGTAATTTCCTGGTGTCCACGTTGTTTGTATAATAATATTATATATCTGCCGCCTATATATATACAGAAAAAAAAATATCGTATAGTCCAAGTGCCAATAATATATTATAATATACACTTTGATACAGCGAGGTTGGTGCGTGGGGGCGGGGGCAGCTTATAGTCGTCGTGTGAGAGCTGAATTTGTAATTGTATGTGTGTGTGTGTGTGTGTGTGTGTGTGTGTGTGTGTGTGTGTGTGTGTGTGTCAGTCGTTATCTGTACGCAGCCATCTCCTCTACACGGCTAGTGGAGTGAAAGCCGCTCGAGACAAGCAGACAACGATAATAATATGTACGGCCCGCGTGTCGGATTGTCGCCATGATGCCCGAAACGCATCGGTGCAGCAGAAGGCGGTGGGAGCTGGGAAAGACCGATGACCGAGTATGTGGTAACGAAACCGAAACCGCGTGTAACGTACGATACGTCCTGGCTGGTCGGGGATATATTATAATGGAGCTGGTACCCACATTATTATTTTAAAACGCCGCCGCCCGTCTTCAGCTGGTTTCGGTGGGTCCACGGAGGACCTGCAGCAGGAGATGTTTATCTACGTCCTTTTTATGCGCGACGGGTCCGGAAAGGTGTCTGGCCGGCAATATTAATAATAATAATATTGTAATCGTCATCGGTATAATATTTTATTATTATAATACAGTGCTCATATACCCACTAGGTCCGTGAGCAGAGGAGGAGGAGGAGGCGGCGGAATTTTTTCCACCCGTCGTCTCTGCTGCTGCAGTTTATACAATATACATATAAAAGATACACAGTATTCGTTATTTTTCCTCGTTGTATAGCGTGTATTAAATTATTTTCTTGCCCTATAACCAAACCTATATCACAGTACGTTTTCACGTGACGATACGTAGTAGTTAGGTACCTATGTTTATAATATAATTATATTATATTATATACTACGAACGATAGCGCGTCAAAGAAGCGAAATATGTTGTCGTCATAAATAGAACGAGCCAACGAGGAAAAAATAAAAAAATGTAGTGTACGAAAAAAACAACTGACGCCCAGACCTCTGGGACGAGGCCATCTCCTAATCCGACGGATTATAATATATTATATTATATTGTATTATGCTCCGCGGGAGCCTTTCAAACGAGAGCCTTTTTCTCGTCGAGTGAAAGCGTCGTCACTCACATCCCACCACGCTCCACCATCGACGAAAACAATAATAGATAATAATAAAAAAAAATAATAATAATAACAGTAATTTAACGATAATAATGTTTTACTCTTGCAAGGGTGAGTGCGTTTACACGGGTGAAAACGTTTCTTATAGAAATGTATGGTAAGAAAAAAAAAATTGAGCATCAACGATACACCATTATAATATTAAATTATGTATAGGTACCTACCTACACTCGAACGGATAAACTGCATTTTACGAGGCGTGTATATCATATTATTATTATTACTTATGTATAATATCATAAACGTGCGCGGTCATTATATCTTTTGGACACGACCTGTCACTACGCAATTAATATACTGTTGTATATTATTATTATTATTATTATTATATTTTTCCTCTACTGTTGTTTTAGATCTTAGCTCCTGCTCCTGCAGCACATCAACAGAAGTCGTGTTTACATTATACTGGCTGTAAATGTATACGCAATAATACGAGACTCGGCCCCACAGCTTCCGACCTTAAACCTCAAACTGCAGTTGTAGGCATATTATACGTACAAATCGACAGCCTTGTTAAGAATACCTACGTCTTTTAAAATGTATTCAGAATACGTTCTTCAATATACTCGGTGTCATTTGTACATTTGAAGTAGGTATTCCTGTACTGTCTTTCTCAAAAGTATTTCAATACAAATAAAAATACATTTTATTAAAAGTACTACCTCTTCAAAATTCTTTACAATTAGGTACCTTATACATTTTTTTCAGTTTATTAAGATTGCTTAATTGGTTCAAGAACTTTAGATGTCACATACTCTACATGCACTTACCTATTATATTGTCAAGTCAAACTTCACTACTTCAGCAATGTAGATATGAATTTTAGGTGTTGTGTCATTTATGCGTATTTAACAACATCTTAAAAATTCTCGGGAGCATTATACGCGAAAGTATATACGTAACTATAAGCCGATAAGCGAAAAATGTAAGGGCGCTTCCGACACTGTAATAATAATTGCATAATATTGTACAATAACATGTTTGATGCAGTAAACGACGAATATTAGCTGCAGTTGTATTCAATGCACCCGAAAGTGTGTGCATACTTATAAATCAGTGTCAAGATATATGAACATGGTGCGTATTGCATCAACTTATTTTATTGGTGCAGCAGTATATAGATAATATTATTGTACGGTGTCGTTTTTGATTTTTAACATACCAACAAATTTGTTTTTGTGACCATAGCTCATTAGGTATATATAGTGTATACGAAGCGTACTGATTATCTCGTCATATTTTTATATATTTTATTATAAAAAAATCACAGAATTTCCTCAGTAGATGATAACAGCTAAAAATAAACAGCTCGACCCATCCATTAGAGCTATCCTATACGAATATGATATATGATATCTTATCACTTTATTATAATAAATTATGGGTCACAGTTTTGGAGAAAAACGATTTTCCTGCAGAGTGATGTCTATATATTGTGCTTGAAAATCGACCATATATACGTATTAAAGGGCGTACGCGTATAACATAATGTTCAAAATTTACGAATACTTACAAATTGTATTTATTTACTTAGCCAAGGCTGTACAGGTGTCGCCACCCCAAAAAAAATAACTATACAGTATATAGGTTTAGGTAGGTATGGGTTGCCCATAATACAGCTCGTGTACGAAAAAACGGTGTTCACACACACACACACACACACACACAAACACACACACACGCACGTGAACGAAATTAAAACGCATCACCTTGAGGTGACTATCTCGACGTGCACCGCGTCGGCAGTCGCCACCAACCGGTTATACCCGATACGCACCGCTGCCGATCGGTTTTGCAACGTACACACATGCGCGATATTCGCGTGTGTGTTGGCGTTTGTATGCGTGTGTGTGTGTGTGTGTGTGTTGTGATGGCGGCGGCGGCCTACAATAATTTTGCAATTTAATTGCAATTTTTTTTTTCATTTTTTTTTTTTTGTCCAATTTTAATCTTCCCACGGGCTATTTTTTGCGTGTGTACAACAGCGTGTGCATTTACGTACATATTACATACGTGCCACGGCCGAACGCACGTTGGTTGGAAGCCAAAAAAAATAAAAAAATAAAATGAATATACAGAAGAAGAAGAAATATAAAAGACCCGATCGCGCGGTGGCGTCGTCGTCGCCGTCGCCGTCGTCTGAAGGTATTTGCCTTTTAAGGGGGTTGGCCCCGCCGTCGTGTGTGTACTTATCTCTTGAAAACTGTATACATATACACATTTAGTGCGTACTGCAGTGGTGCTCGGGGCTTTACACCGTGGTTCGACCACTCCACGATGACGCGAACGCCGCCGCCGTCGTGTCCGGACGGGTTCGGCAGAGTCATCGTCGCCTTCTCGTAATAATAATAATATAAATGTATTATATTATCATATACGTGTATGTTCTTGCAGTAGGAGGTTAAAAACCCGACGAGTGCTATACCGCTGCAACAGCTCTTGAAGTCCGAAAACCGTTTGTGTATAGGACCTCCGCTTTCGGGTGTGTGTGTGTGTGTGTGTGTGTGTGTGTGTGTGTGTGTGTGTGTGTGTGTGTAATTCTGCGTTGCTAGTGCGTGTGTGTTCGTGCGAGTGTGCAGACTGGTCGTTGCAGGGTTACGCGTTTATGTAAAATGAAATTTTTTTCCGCATCGTTCGGCCCGACGACTTATTTTTTAACTCATCAATTATATATAGTGTGAGCAAGAGTCATATATATTTATATTAATAATATATTTTTATATTTATATTTTAATAACATCATATATTATACAAGTTTTTATTTTATTTAATATAATATGTTTACCATGATATAATACTGATAAGTACAATAATTAGTGAACAATATCTCGCAAACACGACGAAATCGAAATATGATTAATTGAAATAAAAAATGTGTTTTCTCATCGAAAACACAGTGATGTGTAAGTCTCTTCGATAAAGTATTAGTTCTCGAGGCCTAGCCCACACGATGCGTAGTGAGTATGTAGTAATAATAATATATCCATTGACCGCAACATTTATTTTTATTTCGCTTGTATAATAGATACCTATGTATTGAATTCGCAAGACTAGAAGGCGGCCAACACTCAAAAATCGTCAATGAATGACGAAAGTCCTAACCTAACTCCAGTAGTGCAGGTAAAGATCACCCAAAAAATAGAAGTTGTGCCTCAATGAGCAGAATTCGGGAAAAAAAAAATAAGACTGCAGCCGAAGCTTTGATACTGAACGGTGCAGCTATAAACGTAGTATTATAATCAATTTAATTTTTATTAAATGCATAGATTGTGCTGCTGCTGTCTTCTAACAGTCACTTAATATAAACGATGGAATATGTAAACGGCAGTCAAGTGAGACGAGTGCATTAGCTTTAGCTATGTATTATAATATATATTATTGTGTTCTAACCGTAAACAACAACGTTTCCGCATACTCAAAACTATGTATACATATTTATAGCCATCGGTGTTTCATAATATATATTATATATATATATATATGTAATATACTTTACATTATATTATTATGTGTGTATAAATATATTATATTTATATATATGTATATATTATAATATTTACAACTACTACAGCGCTAACGACGGCAGCGTGTTAAACGTGTGAAAAATTTAAATAACACGTTCGGTGCACGTCTGCAATATAATATGCATTAACGCGTAATATGTATAAGTATAACGGTTCATAATCAGCTAATAAAATACACGCGCGTTGTGCCCGGTCATTATTGTCCATTACCATAATATACCTAGGTAGTAATAATAATATTAACTCGTAAAATTATCTCGTGTTTATAAATATTGTTCATCTGTTATAGGCACCTCTACCTATATAATATAATACGGCTAGAACAGCGGTGGTCGTAATAAGTACATTGTTGCGACACTGGCGCATATAATGGTCGGTCATATTATTATTATTATTATTATTATTTCTGTTATAGAAATCCGCGGGTCTCGCGCCGGTTAATCGTCAGCCATACAATATGATCGTCGACTTGAACTTGAAGTGGTTCGCGGTTACCCATAATATTATACCTATGTAATATACCATACATGCCTATGTTATTATAAGTCTATACGGTAATTATTAGTGTGATCATAATGCTGCGTATTCATAATAATAACAATATACGAATACTCGTTTGTGCGTGTTATGATATTATATTCAACTGTTTTCAATTAAATTCAAAATAAATGATGCTGAAGCGGTATCGAATATACCTAATACTCACTAAATCTTAAGCTGTTTTAAATTGATTCGTAGGTCTTTATAGTGAAAACGATTTTGGTCAGAATTCCTTGTGACCCAATTTTTTTTTCAAGCATTAATTAGTTATTTTACTAAATTATTATTATATAATAATTACTAATACGGAAACAACAACAGTTTATTGGATCGTAAAAAGTACCTATGTCACATATATTTCAAAGCAGTGTTTCCTAACAGTGATGGGGGACACATTGCTGGGGAGGCGCAAGCAGTCATCACGAAGTAAAATGTGTGTTTATTTAATTATTTTTATTTTACAATGCAGGAAAAATGAAATATTACGACCGGTTATCGGGTATTGATAAAGGAGTTTATTATATATTATATTAGTTACTATTATTTATATTTTATACTAATTTATTACTGTAGTCATACACATTGATTAATTATCCTATTATATTATTATCTATTATTAATATTTTCTAATTATTGCTATCAATAAAAAAAATAGCTATTTCGAATATTGTATAGTTTGTTCTTAAAGTATAAAAGCAAGGTGACAATTTTCTTCAATTTATAGCAGGGGCTCGAGATTTTTGAAAATAAAGAATAAAAGAGGTTGGGTATAACTGTTTTGGAGTATAATAACGACATATAGACACTGATACACAATTTGCGTACCTAGTTTTGGCGAAAGGTAAGAAGATTAAAACGTTTGTTATTATATATTCCACCAAAGTGTATTTATATATTTAAGAATAAAATAATACATACGGTGTATACATAAATAAATCTTATAATATTATGTGTTCACGTTATTATAATAGTAGGTGAGTACCCGCAGTATATATTATAAATCAGAGATGGATAACATAATACAATATATATATATATATATATGTGTGTGTGTGTGTTTGTCCAACTCTCTTTGAGTTTCGCTAATCCGACAGACTAGACGGAGGTTTAATGTCTTTTGATATAATATTCGTTGGCGATGCATGGTGCACACCTATAACTAATATAAAAAATGATAATAAAAATATATATTATTATTTAAAACTTTAAAAGTACATTATTATTTATTATTATTGTCGGCGATTATTTTCGAAAACCTACAATGATTACGCCATATAATACAATATGTGTGTAAGTGTGCAAGTGTGAAGCGCCAGTGTTGCACATCAATGATCTTCGAGTAGGTGGATGGAGGGGGGCAAGATAACTTGAGTTGTTTTTTTTTTTGTCGTCCAACAATTAATTACGCACGTGTAGGTACTAAGATCGCGAGACGTAAGACACGGTATAATAATAATATATTTATTATTAATACCTATCGTCATCGTCTTCATCGCCGGAGTACCTACAGCAGCAGCCAGCGAAAAACACGAGGTCGAAACAATAATACGATCGCGTATGATTTCCTCACACTGCTTCAGGTACATGCAATTAT